ATGGTGCCGAAGGGAACATGACCTTCCCTGCATTGAGGCAGTGAAGGAAGAGGTGGTCATCGACGATAAAGAGGAGGAGGAGCTGGAGGACAAGAATGACACCGAGCATCTCGACGATGAGGAGGAGGCTTGGAGCCAACGGGAGACTTGGAGGAGACCATGGAAGTTGTCACCTCCAAAGAAGATGGCGGCCAAAGCTAGGCCAGAGGGTGGAGAGGGCAGCAGGCCAAAAAAGGCCAGGGTGGAGGAGCCTCCACGACTTCCCAAGTCTCCACCCCGGGGCCCTCCACCAGCACTGGCATCAGCTCCATCATCAGGGGCATTGACGGGGGGCGCAGAGAATGCGAAGGCAGGTTCAGTGAGTTCAGTGGCCAACTAATGAGGGTGGAGAAGAATGTGAAAAAAGGGTTCCACTTTTTTGCATGTTTTTCCCAGACCCAAAATTTACTTCTATGACCAATGGCCTGCATGTCGTCATCCCCTGTTAGGCTGTGCTTCGGAATGTTGCACCTGATATCTATGACACCTTGGTCTTGGTGAAGCCGGAGTTGGAGCCCATGTGCTGGTCTAGCATTCTGAGTCTCTTTCAGTACAGTGAGGGGGGGAAGAAATATGCCAGGGACTTTTCCATCCAAGCTGCAGGCCATGTCCAGATGGGGAACTCGAAATGGAGAAGCCCCACAAATGTCTGCTTGAAGCATGTGAGGGAAAAGTTAGATGCTTTGAGGCTTCCTGACAATTCGTGGTCAAAGGACCATTGGCAGTCATGGCGATAGGGATTACCTTTCGAGCTTCCGTGGGCAGGAAAAAGAAGAGGCTATGTGCTCCGTTTTGGGAGTGTTAGTTGTGAACAAAATTTCAAATTGGACACCAACGCAGGTGAACACACTTTCTTGTCAATGTCAAGATTCCTTACTTGTGATTGTGACAGGTCATATCAGTGCTGATTTTGGCAAATGCTGGATACTCAGAGTTTCCCACTAAGCAGCCACAATTTGGACAGTTTTGGTGTCACTTGCATGACTACGCTGACTCTTGCATCTTCTCTTGCCCAACAGTGCATTAAGTGTAGCAGTTGAATCCGCTGTCAGGTACTCACTCTCGATTGCTCACACGTTGACTGCTCAGTGCTTGGACATTGGCTTGTAGATCGTATGGAATATGACGCATTCAAACTTGTAATCGCTACTGGCTTAGGGCAACAAAGCCGCAGACTTGTTCATTGAGTTTTTCAGCTTTATGACAGCCCCATGACATTGATCATGACGTTGTCTTTGACATCTGTTCAGAATGAGTTTGCTTTGCATTGTCGTGATAGTTCAACCATCTTGCCCAGGACTTCCCAGTGTGCCTGTTCAGCCAGGTCTTCGGCTCTAAGAACCATTTGACACTTCCATAGACATCAGGTCAAGTGCAGTTTTCAATTTGACATTTGTCAGACTAGTGTAACATTCAAGAAAAACGCTTTACAATGAGTGTTGTATACAGTGCGGTTTTGTTCTTGAGTCTCTATGACTCTTTCTCTTGCCATGGGGCTGGCTCATGGCATTCCCCGTGGCTTGGACCAGGAAGAGCCTAAGGCCATGATGCCACCAACGCCACAGCAGTTCTCCAATGATGATGATGATGACGATTTCATTGTCGTAGAAGACACTTCACTGAGCCCTGTCCATGAGTTGTTCGTCACTGACACGTCTGACATTTGCAATCGAAGGATGAAACGACGCAGGGTGCTTGGCAATCTGGTTCAGAAGTTCTTTGCCGAGGAGAGACAAGTCCCAGATGTTGTCAAAGAGTTGGTGGTGCAAGTCTTTTCTGATGCTTTGTGCGACCAAATGCCAAAGCGAGAGTTTGAATCAAAGATGTTTATAGCTAGACGCTGCTTACGCTGTAGCGATTGAGGCTCTAGCCTTTTTCGCTCTCAGGATGTGCAATAATTAGAGCTAGCTGGAATTGACAAATTAACCATTACTTCTGTCTGCCTTCGCGATTGCTCTGCGATGCATTGGTCGAAAAAATCAGTGATCAAGGTGCAGTTTGTTGTCATGTCCAAATGCCAGGCCAAAGGTCAGAAAAGAAAGTCAGGGGAACAAGAAATGGACTGGTGTTTAGTTTTTCGACGATTGTCAAGGTGCATGTCACTGTCACTGTCATCACTGTCAAGTGCATGTTATTTGCCGTTGTCAATGTCAAGGTATTGCATTCCAGTCAGAGTGTCATTGAGCTTTTCAGTTTGGTCCAAAAAAGCAAAGCCAACATATCCTCAGCATTTGGCTTGACACACCATTGGTGGATATCAGCTTTGGTGGCTTGTTCCCATCTGCTGTGGTGAAAGTAGATCATGGGGCGACATGGGGCTAAGAAAGCTCGCACCTCCACATCGCCTGCTAACATGATGATGAACCCAATGATGAACCCGATGATGCAAGCGATGGCTTTGCATCCAATGGCAAACATGATGAACATGATGAACCCGATGGCTATGATGGCAATGGGCCAGCAGCAGGGCCAGGAGTCTTCTTCAGAAGATGAGGATAGGAATCATGCTTCAGCTAAAGCAGCTGGTCTTGCTCCTGCCCCTCTCCAAGAGCAGCCTGGTCCACCACCTCCTGCAGTCCCAGACCAACCAGGACAATCGATGAACCACCAAGCTCATGCACTTGAAGCCCTGAGGAACCGTCGATCAAACCTTTTCAGCTCAACTGGTGGTGCCGACAAGAAGATCCACCGGGGTGCTGCCATGATACGGTCATTGCCCAAGGACTGACATGTGATATGGGAGGGATTGGTATTCCAACATGATTTCATAGTGTGTTGTTTTTGAAATCTTTCTGTAACCCCCAATGCTGATTTCAAACTTGGTTCGAACCCTGCAGAAAAGACTCAGCGAACTTGTGGAAGCGTTGGATGGCCAGTTGGATCCTACGGTCACCTCAGATCTCAATATGCTTGGCCTTTGTCGGGTGATCTGGCTATTGACCCGACAGAAGCCCCAAGTCTGTGTGAGCCGCCTTCGCTGTGAAGACTATGGGGAGCTCAATACCAGACTTCACCAGCGTCATGTGCAACTAGTTCAATCATCTTCGGATGTTGCAGCTGCTTTGAGCGCCATCAAGTCTGAAGCGATCTTGACTGAGAGCTTCATAGCTGCCCTTGCAGAAGCTCAAGGCTGGGATGATGAGTGGATGGCTGCTGAAGAAGCCAAAAGCAGGGGTCGTGGTCCCAAAGCTGTGGCGGCTGAGATGCGAAGGGCCGCTGCAGGGAGTCATTTGATCCCAGACTTGATGAAAGCTGCAAGCCAAGCAGCTGGTGCTGCGCCTCTTGCTTCACCGGGGGTGTCAGGTCCTGTTTTGCCTCAGCCTGTGAATGTTTCTGGGCCCCCGCCTGTTCCAGAATCCCATGCACCTCGCCCACCTGTCCCGCTTGCTGTGGCTGTTGCTGCAGCTCCCAAAGTGATGCCAGTGCGTCCTGTGATGGTTCCTAATGAGCCTCCTTTGAGCAACCCTGTGCCTTGGTAGCAGCATCATTGTATTGTATTGGTTTTTGTTTGGTCCAGTTTTCTGCATTCTTTGATGGATCATTTACATTTGCGTTGGTGATTGTTATGCTTCTCATCCTACTGTATTTCGAAAAGTTTCTGCACACATCTCGCCAAGTGTCCACTGACGTTGGTTAATGTATTGACTATGGTTGTCAGTGTCACTGTCTGTATCAGAGTCTGTGTCAGAGTCTGTGTAACCTGCATTAGTCAAGACATGTCTCAGTGTCACTGCCAGCTATTGAGGACAATGCAGCGACGGTCATCGATCCACAGGGTGGCCCTCTTGGAACTCCAGATCCTGCGCCTCCTGCTGGAGCTGAAGCTGGGGTCGATGTTGTGACGGACATGGAGGTGAATGAAACTCCTGCGGAAGCAGCTGGAAGCCCTGCAGCAATGTGTGCAATTTGCCGCAACTCCCTGCGAGAGCCTGGACGGGAGGTTCAGATGTTGGCTTGCGGGCATGTGTGGCATAAGACATGCCTGGAGAATGCTTGGACTATTGGAGGACATGAGCCAGGTTGGTGCCCTTATCGTTGTGATGTGCGCCATGCAGCTGCAGAATTTGAGTTACCCCCTGCTGCTGGTGATTTCGAAGAAGCTGCCCATGGTGTCGAAGCAGAGCCACCTATGGAACCTGTGTCACCGAGTCCGGTTCCTGGTCCTGCAGGGGGTGAGGCAGCCATGGTGTTGTGAGGCATAGCTGATGTCCCAGGGTGCAACTTAAGCTGTGACAATGCATACTGGCAACGTTTGCTTGTGCAACTGGGCATAAAGCCACAAGGGGTGAGTGACTGTTGGCTCCCAATGCTTTGTGGCTACTCGTGTCACGTGCTTTGTTTGTGGCAGGCACTCGTGTTTGGCTTCCCAATGGCACTGTAGAGTATGCAGTCCCAGGTACAAATTATCTGTCTGAAGTTAGGAAGGGGATTACCTCTTCATGCAACGATGTGGGAAAAAGTGAGCGGCCAGAGTTTTTCCTCATTTTTGCTCGTTTTTGCTCATTTTTGCTCGTTTTTGCTCATTTGTGCTGGATTGTGCAACATTTGAGCTCATTTGAGCTCATTTGAACTGATGAAGCGCATTTGAGCTCATTTGAGCTCATTTTGTCTCATTTAAGACCCAATTGTGGCATGTTGTGCATCAGGTGCAACGGTGGTGCAACATGGGGTGCATGCGTTAGGGCCTCAGGGAGAGCGGTTGAAACAGATCAAGCACACAGGTCAAAAAACATGGGGTCTGTATTTTTGTTCTAGCTCAGACTTAGAGGGCGCAGAACAAAGCCAGTGCAGAACACTGTCAAGTTGCAGAGTCACAGTCACTGTCAGGAATACTGTCAGCGTCAGAAAGAACAATGGTTGCGTAATGCAGCAGCGCTGTCATGATCAGAATGTCATAAGTCTCAAGTCAAACAAAAAAAACTATTAGCACTGCCTGTGTGAAAAGTTTCTTCGTTGCAGCCATGGTAATGGCAGGGTCCTCTGGTGATTTGCGAAGGCAAATCGAAGCCATCCAGGCACGTGACTGCAGCATGGAGGCGAAGTTCCGTGCAACGAGTGCAGGGATTGATGTGAACGCCCTTGCAGAGCTAGAGGCATTTCCAACAGATGCTGCAGGTTGTATCAGTGGGTGTGACAATGAGAAGCTAAGACACTGGTCAGAGCAAATTGACATGTTCTATCACTTTGACAATGAGAATGGTGGGAGAGCTCAAAGAGTATGGGTTCAATTCCTATCTCTTGCATTTCCTTTTATGATGGGTTGGACTTTGCAGTCAATGCTTCTTTCAGTGCTAGCGCGGGCTGACTTTCATCGAAAACGTGGCGCTGCCAAGTTCCAATATGTGGAGGTGTTCTGTGGCAGAGGTAACTTGTCACGAGCTTGCATTGCTGCAGGCCTGCTGGGAGTGTCCCTGGATACATGTGTCAATCCAGACCATGATGTTCTCTCAGCCAGTGGCTTTAGATTGCTTCTAGCTGCTTTGACTGGCACAGTTCAAAAAGGATTGCTCTGGATAGGGACGCCATGTCGGTCTTTTTCAGTGATGTCAGCGTCTGTCAGCCGGCGGACGGCGGAGAACATGTACCTGGGAGACACTTCGCTGTTTTGCGTGCAACTTGGGAATGTCCTTGCAGACATCTCAGGACTTCTTCTTTTGCTGGGCTTTCTTCTAAACTTGTCAGAGGGATTGGAACAACCAGGGGGAAGCACACTTCCTCTCACGCCAGTGGTGAATGCTGTTCTTCGATTCATTGGTTCCAGCAGGACAGACACATACCATTGGTGTTTTGGTGGACCGACGTTGAAGCCACTTCAGCTATGGAGCCGGTGCAACTTCATTAGGCACTTGAGGAGGCCAAAACCTTTTGTTCCATCCATGGAGGAAAATGCCCTAGCCAAGAGAGGTTCTGATGGCTCCTACACTGGGAACCGGGAGCTCCTGGAAGAAAGCCAAGAATACACTTTGCAATTTGGCAGATCTGTAGTTGCTGCTCTGTTCCATGAATGGCGTGGCAATTAATTAGGCCACTCCTGACTAATTTGCTTGTTCGTTGACAAGCCGAGCTCGCTTATGGAAAAGGACGCTGTCATTTGTCAATGTGCATTGCTGCGAAGGCATGTCATTATTTCAAGAACGTTGCTCAGAGACATCCCATTTTGATTTCTGGACCATGTTAAAGAGACCTTTGAGCTAGAAACTACCTCTGGTGGATTGAGGCCTCCAAAAACTGCCTGCCCTGATGCCCAGTACTTTTCTGTGATGAGAACTTTTAGTGGATTGATGTTTGCGTGATACAAAATGGGATTGACACAGGTTTGGTACCATGTCATCTGGACCAAGAAAAAACCAACTACTATTCTTTAGCTGCACTGAGTGCTGTTGATAAAGAGCACCTGTTTTGACACTGACAAGCGACTTTGAAATGTGTCACCGAAGCTCCTTCTGCAGGTCACAACGGAGCCAATGACTATGACAGTGGCTGCCTAAACTTTACGCAGATGTAGTTGCTGTGGTTCATGCTTGGTGAGAATGCAAATCATGGTGCAGTGGTTCAACTTTCCATCTTTCTCAGTAGATGCTGGATCAAGAAAATGGGCAAAGCAGCCCAGTGATTTGCATTAGGTTTTGCAGCAAGCAGACCATTGCCCCCTCCATTGATGATTTGTCAAATCGTCACTTGAATGCTTCAAATGAATGAACTTGGACCTATTAGTCATTATTCCTTTCGTTGGGATCATCGACAGAATTGGACGATTAATGTATCAAACCCTGAAATTAGAAATGACACGATTGTACTCTTCCCTGCATGCTTTTGCATGCGCAATGTCAGCTTGTGGTCCTAGATGAGGACATTGGCCTTTTGTCAAAGGTAGGTTTCATTGCCAGAAGAGATGGTCAGGAGCGGCTTTGGTGGTCTTTAGACTACTTGTTCGACAAGTTCAAAGCAAGCGGTGACGAGAAACGCGTCTTGTTCAAATGGATTCAATTCTTCAAGCAGAAGGTATCACAATCAACTTTCTGTGATGATCCTTTTTTCTGCCAAACAAAGCAAACGAATTTGCCTCAGCATGCTCTACACGAAAATGTGGCAACCACCTTCGCTGTCCTGGTATTCTTCAATGTTTTGCTAAAGGAATCCAGAACGCCCAAGACCGTGCAAATGCTAAAGAATTGGATTCCGGTACTTTGCAACAGAGCTTGCTCCATGCTCTCCATCCTAGTTAGTCTGGATGTTGAGGACTTGCAACCACTGATTGTGTCCCCTGCAGGTTTGGTGAAAGGTATGGAAAGCATGCTGAGCTCCAAGCACCGTACTTGTTTTTTTGCTGTGCAGAAAGAATGGCAATCGATGCATGAATCTGGAGAATTGAGCGAAGAATTGATCAGTGACGCAGATTCAGCCATCCCGCTCCAGGACTTGCTTTGGTTTGTTGTCTCTGTCGACCGGAAACGGAGATCGTCTGGCGGCCATGTGTGGCCGAAGGACAGCGTCACAGGGTCTACGTTGTTGAAACTTCAGAAAGCCTTGCTTGACTTTGTTGCCCAAGGCATCGACAGGTATGTCAAAGAAAGCTACATCCAGACCCACAACACGGACAAACCTGCTCCCTCTAGAAGGGTTCTTGGGATTGCCAGTGATGTTCCTGATGGACAAGTAGCACCAAACCCAGCGACGAAAGTCATGATGTCTCCTGATGCGATTTATGAATTGTTTTCCCAAGCCAGGGAGACAAGTGTGTCAATGAAACAGGCGCTGCCTTTTCTTCAGGGCGAAAGGGTGTCTTCCATGGCGGGCTGCAAGCCGACAGCCGTGGACCCATGGGTGCGACGAGCCCAGTCCATATACGATGAAAGAGCAGCACTTTCGCTACTTGGGGTGACTCATTACAACTTGGTTTCCGATTGCTCTGTGCATAGCGGGAAGGAGTACCTTGTCAGTATTTGCTACTCGCATCAGGCAAGCACGGCTTGCTTTGCAAACATTCAACAGATACTCCCTCTGGCGCAGATAACTCCAGGCGAAATTGAGCTGACCTCTGTTGTAGAGAAGCTAGCGCAGGAACCTGCTCTGGAGGGTAATGCTGTGAACTGATAACACATCAGAAAACTTGGCATGACTAACCAAATGGAAAACAATGGATCAGACGCTGTAAACAAGATGTTATGTTTGATCTGAGTACCATTTTTGTTTCTAGTACCATTCATTCATTCTAGGACCTCTGGCCCTTCAGGAGAACAAACTTGTCAGACTGGCTTCCTACAGACAACTGCAAGCAATTTCCCAGCAACTCCACTTTTTGACGAATGGTCAGATGAAGAACCTTGATTCCTTTGCAGTGCCTGATGGCATTACGTTGAAACCTGTCATGTCTGGATGGGACCGCTTTCTTCGTCAGGAACCTGGACGAAACAGAGCTGGGTTCAGGAATTCAACCGATGGCAGTGAGATCTTGCTATTGCCTGATGATCGCCAGTGGTGGGTTGATGTTCCACTATTGGTCTTGCAGCTGGATCAAGGCCCAACATGTTGTGGAGGGGCAGCGTTGCTAGGTTCAATTTATCCATGATATATTTTTTACTTGCTTGGGCCCTGGCATGTGAAGCATTTAGAATTAATCAAAAAACAACAATAGTATAGGGGCAACCTTTGGTGAAAGTGGCTTCAAGTTGGTTAGATTGTTTGCCAGTTCTGCACTTCTTAACTTTCTTTGGCCAACCCTGCAGCCCAGGTTTGCGATTGGCAAAATGGAGAGCATGATCTTGGCCAGGTGGGATGTGATACACAGATCCATCCGAGATGTGAAACTGTCATTGCTCCACGGGGCTGGTGGCGAATTTTATCAGGCCCAATTTCATTCGCAATATCTGTTCAGTTTGGCCTACAGGCCTTATGGAAGTTCAGGCTTCTTTGAAGACAAAAAACGTTTACTGGAGATGATGATGGCGAGAGAGGGGCCTGACACAGTGCCAATGTTTGTCGACTCCTGGGAAAAAATCCGGGATGAAATTGGCTTGCCGTCTACTGCCACCATGACTGATACCTGGAATGCTCTCCCAAATCTTGATGGCTTCCGCACGAAGCAAACCTTGCCCAAACCGTCTCGATGGTTTGCGTGGAACCAGGCAGTGGAAGAAAAATTGCCAGAGTGGACAGCTCTCAAGTGTGTGCTTGCTTACCATTTTGATGGTAATGATGGCCTTGACCCTGATGACGCTTTTCACAAAAGACAGCTGGATGCCATGGCCAAGGAATCTGCACAAGAAACCGAAAGAAAGAACATGAGGAAAGAGTTTGGCAAACTCAAAGAGAAACTTGGTGGCGGGCTCAAGCTTTGCTTCCACATCATGAGCAACAAACTGTTGCAGATGGTGAAGATCATAGCCCTTTGTACTCGGCCGGTGTGGTCCTGGTACAGCCATTCCATCATGGAGGTCTTGAATGCAGAGCACCAGGTGCACAAGCTGATCGTGCTGCAACGCAATTGGGTTAAAGAGACGCACTTGCAAAAACTTGCAGCCCTTCCAACGTCATTGTCTGAAGAGCTGGTGCACTTGCTCGACAGCTACAGTAGCTCTTTCAACGACACCGGCCCCAAAGTCTTGGAGTTGAGCCAGCAGTTGTTGAAACATCGCTGCTGGTCATTGTCAAAGGCGTCGGCGCCCCCTGATTGCTATGCTGGTTTGCTTTCGTCTGACCCAACTGAACAGAAGGTGCGGGGTTTTATTAATTTTGAGGTAAGATATTTTTTTCCTAGTAGCTGTGTTGTCAAGCACCATCGTCAATGTGTGTGTTTTTTTGTACCCAATGACTACCATGAATGAACAAATGATCCAGTGATCAGGTGAGTGTAGTGCTGTCATTGTCATTGTCATTGTCAATTGTCCCTGTCATTATCGAATATCGACCTTCCACCATAGGTGATCAGTGTCAAAAGTCCCAGTCATTTCGCAGGCGGCTGCGTCTTTGCTACGAGCTGATCATCGCAATCTCCTGGAGCTAGAGTCAGTTGTGGCCAAGACTGGCAAGTGCCCTCCAAAGATTCTACAGGACATCAATGTTGTCTGCACTCCTGCGACTCGCTTGCTATTTTTGAGTTTCGAAGAAGGCTCGTATCACCACCAGACTCCTGGTGGCCTGCATTTACTTCGCGGCATGCTTCAGACGCTCCCAGACTCCAAAATTGTGGAGGATGTGCATGGCACTTTGAGAAAAGAGTCCAAGAAAGCGCCCAACAAGCGGCAGACGGCGCAAGCGCTCCAGGAACTAGTGTGCAACTCGCCGGTGCTTGCTACCCGGGGCATCCAGCACAAAGCCTTCGTGACGAAGGAAGTTTTTCTGCGGTCCTTTCCCAGAATGAAGGAGAAAAAGCGTGCAAGGCTTGATGGTTGAACATTGCAAGTCCAAGTCTGCCTCCCAGTATATATATATATATATTTTATTATATATAATATATGTTAACATTGAATGTATTCCTTCATAGTATAGCCCCCAGAATACTGCTACTCATATTAGAAACTCTCCAGCCTTCAGTTTTTCCTACTTTCCTGGCATGCATGCTAGGCGCTATATGGCTAAGCATCACAGCCTTTCAAAGAAGTGGTCGGAGCTGATGTCAAGAAAAAATTGGGCGACAATCTCTGAAGAAACATTGCACAAAGGGGCGGCATGTTTGAACTTTTTGAGACGCTACGTGGAAGATGACATGGGTTCCAGGGGCCTCCGCCTCTCCCATGGATGTTTCTCCAAATTTGCTGTGGAGCTGTGCATTTTGTGCAGAGTGGTGGACGATGCTGCTGAATATCATGGCTTTTGCTTGGGCAATGGTACTTGGGGAGCCCTCTTTTGGCCCCTTTGTTTGCACCAAGATGGCGAGTTTGAAGGATACTACTTGGATCCCAATGGGGAAGCTGAGTGGGTACATGTGCTGCAGCCACAAGAGTGGCATGTGCTGGTTCATGAGGCCGTTTTGCACCAGCAGCAAATCTTTATGGTGCCGAAATCAGAAGTGCCTCTGCTACAATTTTTTCTGCAGGAAAGAACCTGTCGGAACTCTTTGACCGTCGCAGATTTGACTATGTTGGCTGAGGTCTTCAAGCTGACCAATGAGAAATTTGATCCAAAGAAAATGAACCGTGAAAAGCAGCTCAACGCCATTCTGGATTATGTTGGTCAGGACAACTTGGAGTGGCTTGACAAGGTGAAAGCTTCTTTATCTGAGCCAGCAAAAGAAAAAAAAATCGGTGATTCTTTGGACGAATTCATTTTGTCTGAAATGCCTCAGGAGGATCAACGCGATTTCAAGGAAGTTGCAGATGAAGTGGATTCCAAAAGGAAAGCTGGGTGGACACTTGTCGAACAAAGATGGAGGAAAGAGGCAGAGAAGAAGAGAAAAAGAAAGGGACAACCAAAGGCAAAAGCAAAGGTGAAAGCTGGTAAATTTGCAACGCGCAGCAAAAAACGGAAAGAGCCTGAACCTGACCTTCCACCAAGCCTTCCTGCAGTGGCTGATGCCATTGAGAATCACGCTGGAGAGTTTCCTGATGGCGCTGCAGAGTTTTCTGATGGCCCCGTCCTGCCTGGTGATGCTGCTGAGGCTGAGCCTGACAGTGCGCAGGTCGTTGCCAGGGACATTCCTGACGACATGACCCTTCAAGAATTGAGAGATTTGAATTGTCAAAACCAGGCCGTTGAAGCAGCTGCAGAAGTTCCCGCTGAAGCAGCTGCAGAAGTTCCCGCTGAAGCAGCTGCAGAAGTTCCCGCTGAAGCAGCTGCAGAAGTTCCCGCTGAAGCAGCTGCAGAAGTTCCAGTACCACCACCACCTGTTGTGCCGCCAGAGCCAGCCCAGCCCAGGGCAGCACGTCGTGCTGAGATGCTTGATTGGACGGATGTCACGTGTTCATATTGTCACAGCATTTGTGGGCAGATCAAGTACGACCCCAATCCAGGAAATAGGGAACCGATCTGGGTGATGCGAGTCAGAGAGCAGGATGGCCAATGGCCCACGCAAGGGAGAAATTTTCGCAGACGTCTTACTCGGTTGATTGGAGAAAGCGATGAGTTGGCAACAAAGTGGTGCAGGAGTCAAAGGACATGCTGCCAGACAAACAAACGAGTAGATTTCCCGAACAAACGGTGAAAAGCAAAAAGTAGACTACCTCCTGAAGGTCCTGTGCAGCGGTGCGCATCTTGGGCAAGTCAAAAAGAGAGCTGTTCAATCTGCAGGTTTTGCATTTTGGTTTGGACATAGGTTCACTCCACGCTCATTGATTGATATGTGCTTTAGGCATGAGCTCATTTCATTGGCGGGTTTTGGACAGCAGCGCTGCTGAGGTATCAGACAGACACTTGCTGAGTGAGTGGGCCAGTTGTTGCTTATCCCGCTCGCAACTTGCAGCTTCCAACAGCCCTACTAAGATATCATGTGCGTCCCTGAAAACATTTTCTTTGCCATTTTGAGAGCAATGGTTTCTTTGATATTGAGGATGTAGTTCGCTTTGCACTGAAGGCTTCCAATGAAAAGAAAATGATTTCGTCAAAGGAATGAGTCACTGACCATCAATGACCATTGACATTGTGACATATGACATAGTCATCATTGCATCTATGCTAAGCGTCACGCTATTTTATTTGGAGTCATAGTCATGTTTGGCAGGCACGTGCTTGCCTGTCGCCTGTCAATGTCAGACATTATTTAGTTTTTTTTTTTTCGGTTGCGCTTGTTGTCATTGTCACAATCGTTGTCATTGTCACAGTTGTTGTCAGTGTCACACAGTCGTTGTCATTGTCACAGTCGTTGTCAGTGTCATGGTGACGGTGGCTGAGTGTCTCCGTTCCTCACACTTTTGTGGTTGCTCAATATTGCACTTCAATCTCGGCAGCTTGGCCCAGCTTACTGTCAGTGCCCTCTGTTTTTTTTTCGCTCCCGAACCTTGGCAATTCTGACTGGTCAAAACCACTTGACCTGTTACACTGTCAAGACATGTTCCTTTGGCAAATATTTTCCCGGAAGAGTCAGAGTCAGTGTCACTTTGTTGTCAGACATACTTGATACTAAGCCCTTCCTTTCATTTTGCCCATTCGAGGCTACACAGGCTGTTTGAGTGTGAAAAGCGGGATGGTATCTTCTCTTGAGCAACTGGTGACCCTTTTCTTTTGGCGATTCCTGTCGATAAATTTTGCTGTTTAGAAGTTTGACTTGAAGAAATAACTTTGCAAGTCAACATTGCTTTCAATCATCCTGTCATGTTGAAAGCTTGCATGAATTAAAGGACAACCCTTGTTCAAATTGGGATTACTTGAAGGGTTTTTTTCGACTTCAAGGCTTGCTGTTCACTTTCTCCGTTTCACCCGCTTGTTTTCGCAGTGGCAACATTGGACTAACGCGCAGAAAACGAAAAGTGAGCGAAGAAGTTTTGAGGCACACCTGGGATACTTGGTTGAAAACATGATTTACATTACCAGGCAAACCACCGTGAGAAAACGTAATTGGATTGTTCTCCCCTTAACTTTTTGACCCTCTTTTGTCTCAAAGTAGGCTTATTCCAGCTCAAATGAGCTGGATTGAGGCACCCAAATTTGACAACCCCCCTCGACCTAGACCTCAACGATCTCACCCCCTTTTATCTTTTAGTGAATTTATTGGGAAATAAATCCACAGAAATGGGATTTATTTTGAACCCAAAGGTAAATAGATACATAAGGAACCAATATTTTTTCCAAGGTGTTTGAGTTTCTTCCTCCATCGCCATCGTCCAAGACTGTCGACATGCTTTTAATGTTGCATAGATCTTTACAGATAAAATGGTGAGACAATAATTTTTCAAGATGGTTGAGACGTGGTTTCAGTTCGCTTTTTTTCTCCGGAATGTGGTGCAATAATTTCTGTAGACTTTTGATACGCCTTTGGACGGTTTTAAAAGTGTCTCATTGCTTGATACATGATCTATGTATGACTTAAACACCACAGCATATGATATATATATATATATATGACCTGTACATAAACTCTAGATAACTAGATATATTTAAGGATGGTATGGTATGGTATGGCTCGGTATTTTGTTGTTCGAAGGTTTGATAGGTGGTTTGATGTGATTTTACATTCAAACATCCCATAGATGATTTAACATTTTAGTCATCATCCGGGTTGCGGTCAACACTTATGATTTTCATTGACCTTCCCCGTGACTTCATGGGATGAATATTTCACTTGGAAGCGTTTTTTTTGTTGTGATGAAATCCCCGTGGCAAAGTTGGCCAACACAGCTGTTGGGAATTGATCTTTTATCACATTCATGTAGGACAATCATGGTTTCCGACCCATTTCATCTGCACCAAAAACCATATCTAAACCATGCAGAAAAAGGGCACATGCCCATAAAATTACATACGTACATGTCCATATCAATCCATTCAAGGCCAAAAAGACTCAGTAGAATTCCATAAACTTCTAAATCCTGATAGTTTATATACATTTTTTGGATTTCCCGAATTCATCCCAATTCCACCCACCATGACCTCCCCATGACAGCCAAGTGGCTGCAAAGCACGGGTCTCAACAGCCTGAGGTGCTGCCACAAAGGCATCAGGACCGAAGCTGAAGACCTGGGCAAAATCTGCGGAAAATCCGCATTTTTTGATGGACAATTCCAAGTTTTGAAGGCGAAACTCCAATTTGTTTGATTCCCTTTCAGAACATGTCTGGGCAAATTCCAGTTTCGTACGGTTCAATGGAAAAACCACTCGAAAACCAACATTCTTGAACATCACTAGTACGGTCAGCACTCAGCCATCCAATCTTTGGACAATCTATATAGATAATATGGGGTCAATGATTTGAGCTATAGCCATATAGCCATCCCCAAACAAATAGAGAAGTGTTTCCAGGAGGTTGTGGCTGATATTTTCATATATTGGTATATTTACTACATCTTCCCAGGTTTCCCGCATTTCTATCTATTTTGAAGTTGCCATACAAGTATATACAAGTATATACAAGTATAATATAGTATAGTAAAATTAATAAAATCACTTTGACCTAGGCACCACTTGGGGGATCCTCTTCTCCTCTTCTCAGGTCGTGCTGAAGGATCCCTGTTCGAGCACAGGTCTCCCACTTTTCTATCTATTTTGAAGTTGCTATACAAATATATACAAGTATATACAAGCATATACAAGTATATACAAATATAATAATATCACTTTGACCCAGGCAGCAACCATTCGGGGGAATCACTTTACGCTCTTATCAGGTCAATCTCCGTTCGAGCCCAGTTACTACCAGAAACGTCACTTCATTTGCGCACGGAAAAGTTCCAGTGCCAGGTAGGATGAATTCCCCGAACATCCCCGTAGAAACCCTGGCTTAGTATTGGATGAATCCATTCTCTTTTGGAGGTGCGCCCGGGGGAGAATTTCATCTGATCGGGCGATGTCCAAGTGTGCAGCCAAAGGTACGGCCAGGGCAACTGAAGCCAGCACCAGCAAAGGAGCCACGATAGAACTGGAACGAGCCATGACACTTCGCCACAAAGAAAGCGACGCTTGAGATCCGCGATGGAGGCTGATGTAAAAATGGCTGCGTTTGAAGCATCAGGAGCCGAAAAATGGGTTTGGTATCTGAACTGGCAAAGGATTTTGATGGATTTTTCCCGAATCCACCGGCTCTATCATCATTTTCCCACCAAAACATGCTCATAGCAGGGGGGCCCATCTTGAGACACGCCCAAATAAGGTGGGATCTTTGTGGGGTACCACCCGGTAACATGCACGATTGATGGTGCTAATCAAACATGGGATATCATCATATCTGCCAGCCATATCTGCCAATCATCATCACTACCAAGGAATTTTTCTTTCATCATATAATATTGTGAGATTGATATAAGTTGTATGAGATCACATACCATTTAAAGTGGGATGAACGGAAAATATAATCAGTATATATCTATGTATATGTATATATAAGCAGTATATATCTATGTGTATATATATATAAACAACCATAATTATCCAGTATTTCATCCCATCTTTTTTTCGCCTCCAAGCCATCCACCCATCCAACCCTCCCAGGCCGCGCCAAGCGTCTCCCAAAACTGCCGCGCCGTTTCCACCGTGGGCGTCTCACCAGCGTCCCAGCAGGTGGCGGCAAAGAGATCCAGCAAATACGGCTCACCTTCCTGGAAATCCGTGGAAATCTGCAGGATTCCCTAGAACTTGTGGAGATTTCATGGGGATTTCAGTGATTTTCAGCAACACAACTTCGAAAGTTGTGTTTTTTTGTTTTTAGCGAACATTTCGTTCATGTGGAGATTCAATGGAGATGTCACCAACAAAACTGGGAGAAACTAAGAATTGTAGAGGGATTTTAGGGAAATCAACGCTACTAATTTCCTTGGTGGTGAATGTTGATCCCTTTGCTAAGTTAGCTTAACCTTTAGCCCATCCATCTAGCATCCCAAGTGGCAAATAACCCCACATATGTACGTATATATATATATAATATATATATAATATATATAATATATATATATATATAGAATACAATAAATAAAGCATAAATAAATACATTTTTGTTGTCAGGGCTTCGCGAAGGATTTTACATAAATATATATATATATATAAGTAAATATTTAAATAAATACATACACCGTATAATCTATATTTAACCTGGGATATTCCCTTTTATAACTGGCTTATTAGATGATTATGTCACATTTACCAACTGGGAAATCCATGGCAAATTGGACCCCCTAAAGGTAACCTCAGGGACCATCGATTCTTCATTGCGAGGGTTACCTTTGGTGGTTTTGAAAACCATGAATATGTTTACAATCTTGTATAGCAAAATCCTGGGACATATTCGAAACTCATGTTTCAATGGTAGACACATTCGGAAACGCTAGGAAAACGGGTGTTATCGGATCAGTTTTCCGAACTGCAAAGGTTTGTGAGGGACACCAGGTATATTGTGATGGGCTCAAAACCACCCAATAGCTTTTGGAAGCGATGCAATCGCCCCGCTCCCCACCAGGCTGGACCTACCAGAATACACGCGGGTGTCCCAAAACTTGCAGCCCAGTGCTATTCTAGAGAAAATGAGGATACGAGCTACCGACAAAATACGAGAGGTCGATGCGAGCGACGAGGGCTTGTTGCTTCAAAATCAAGGACCTGCACCCTACACGGACTTCCGGGATGTAGAGAACACTCCGTGTGGAGGAGCATTCATCCATTTACCTTCCATTCACCATCATTCACCTTGCAATTTGCCCAGTCTTCTGGTGTTTTTTGCCCCACTCAAAATCCCACCTGAAAAATCTCTGCATAGGACGCCACTTCCAAGGAATACGGCACCTGTGGACGTTCACCTTCCCGGCTGTCCTGCCACTGGGATGAGGGGGCTGGGGCTGGGGGCTGTAAGCATGAAGAAACATGAAAAAACACCACGACTTTGGCAGTTTGATGTCCAAAACTGGAAAAATATGCTGAGATTCTTGAGATTTCAGAAAAAATGAATTTTGGTGGTGCTGTGGTGCGCTTGCTTTTGGTCCCCACATGTTTCGGCCGCTACGAATTGTGGTATGACTCAACCAGTTGGCCGCATTGGTCATTAGACCTTGACCTTCCCACGGCATGGGCACGGACTTTCGCTCCTGGTTTTGGTTGGATAATCAAAAAGGTGGTGTAATTACTAATCAAAACTAATCAACCATTTGATAATTATAATGGGGATAATTACTGATGGTGATTATTATATAATGTGGTAATTACTACTCAACCATTGTATCCCCATATCACCATTTCAGGGGGCATCCACATCTCCAAATCTGAGCGCCATTTGAGACCCGCCTCCATCGCCGGCGCCATGGCCGAGCTTGAGTCCAACGCTACAGAAGTTTGGTGAAGGTGGAGGAAGATTAAAAACTCTTTGGCCATTTCAGGAGCCTAAATTAGAGGTACCTGCCATATATAAGGCCTATGTACTGTAAGGGAATATCCCCACCAAAATATGGTCTATTCTGGTACAGTACCTCCATTTTAGGGTCCTGAAATTCCCTTTGACAAAACTGGAAGACCAGATGTGACAGTGACAGTGACTCTTTGAAGAAGTTGGGAATTTGTTCATTGTCACGTTTGGTGACATAGAGGGAATTACTTTTTTTTTGGAGTAGGAATGAAACTTGGAGCTGAAGAAAATGTGAACCTACTATATACCTTTGCTCAGCTTTGTTTGATTCTGGCCTTCAGATACTTTTTGGAAATACACTTTGGTGATACACTTTTCCATCTTTTTCTGGGGTGCCAGAAGCACATGTGCCATGGTCATAGCATAGTATATGGATGTATTGTCGTCCATCCCAGAATGGGAATCCTTACACTTGGTGTGTAAATCCCTGTGAACGGATCGATGACCATCCCTCAATATAAGTATGCAAATGCAAATTCAACTTTTGACGATTGCACATTATATGATTCAATTGATCGATTGACTAGCCACCCAAGTTGCCTTCCGGCCTTCCGGTTGGGCTTCAGGCGAACCATGCACCTCACAGCGATGATAGCGATGCGCCAAGGATTGGCGTCTCAAAGCGTTGCAGAAAAGGGGCCCCGAAACAAAGGTGGGTATCACTGGTATAATCACCAGAAAGGAGGAATTTTCACCAGCAGAAATGGCGACTTTAAACATATCTACTTGGTACCTGGGCTATTTCAGCTGAAGAACCGGCCTTTCCAATCCATGAGTGGAACCAGCACTCACTGAATCCAGGTTTCCGGCGCCTGCTCGCCAGCAGTGGAAACTCGTAGTCACATGCGGCTGGCGCGGGGGAAAAGAGTTGTTCCACTCCTCAAACACGGCGAAGGTGATCCCACAGGTGAAAGCCCTCAATTCCAGGTGATCTTTTCAGGTGCAGACGGTGCAGACTGCCAATCATGATCATGTCTTTGAGATTGCTGCACCGAATCCTGTGTTTAAGTATTGGTGGTGATCCATTTTGAATTCGTTCCAAATTCTCATGATTTCTGGCAGGCCAAACTTGCATCTGCAGCCAAAACTGGCGGCATGCCAAAATGACATCAGGCCCAATTATACAGTAACGCCTGAAACAGCGTTTGTTACCATGGTGAGGACCAAACATTAATGGTACAACTACACAAAGCATAAAGAGTAAACATTATTCAACCTTGACAAAGATGGCCAAGTTTGCGGGTCGGTGCCCAAATGATTCGGGTCTGGAAATGGATGAAATGGCGTCCCCCGAGAATGGCTATCTAATATTTATCCAATAGCGATTTTTTTTGTACCAGATTTTCAACCAAAAGGCGCAAGGTAGCGATCACCTCATGCGCCCCAGCACGACTGGCGAGCTCCTGCGAAGGTTGGTCGACTGTTGGTATAGGAAAATCCCCAGATCTCAGGTGAACAGTGTCCAAAACCCGCAACGTCATCTCATGACCGTGTTCGTTACTTTTATGAAAGGATTCTCATAACGAATGATGATCATCCCCATTGGTTAAAGGATAGTCGAAGGAAGTTTAGAAGTCAAACTTCCGACAATATGATATAATATGGACAGATGAAAAGCAGAAAAGGGAAGAGGCAGAGAGAAGAGAAAGAAGAGGAGGAAGAAGAGCAGAAGAGAAAGAGCAAGAAGAAAGAAGATGGAGATGCGCGAAAAGGCAGGAAAGTCGCGAAACACTGTGTTTTTCCAATGATTTGGGGCTCCGGAGGGTCGAAAAGTAGGCTCGCTAAAGCGGCGGGTGCGGAGCCAGCTGGCCAGATGAGAGATGAAAAATTGCACGCCGTTGTGGCCCGAAGCACATTTGCAAGTCAAAATGTACAAAACACCTCAGCTTCGGACCACTTTTGGAAGTTGCGATGTCGAAAAAGTGCACGCCGTTGTGGCGCGAAGCACATTTCCAAGTCAAAATGTACAAAGCACACCATTGTCGGACCACTTTTGGAAGTTGAGATGTCGAAAAAGTGCACGCCGTTGTGGCGCAAAGCACATTTCCAAGTCGAAATGTACAAAACACCTCAGCGTCGGACCACTTTTGGAAGTTGAGATGTCGAAAAAGTGCACGCCGTTGTGGCGCGAAGCACATTTCCAAGTCAAAAGTGTTAAAAACTGACGGTCTCGGGCCACTTTTGGAGGTTCAGATGTCGAAAAAGTGCACGCCGTTGTGGCGCGAAGCACATTTCCAAGTCAAAATGTACAAAGCACCACATGTTCGCGCCACTTTTGGAGGTTCGGATGTTGGAAAAGTGCACGCCGTTGTGGCGCGAAGCACATTTCCAAGTCAAAATGTACAAAACACCACATGTTCGCGCCACTTTTGGAGGTTCAGATGTCGAAAAAGTGCACGCCGTTGTGGCGCGAAGCACATTTCGAAGTGAAAATGTACAAAACACGAGGGGATCGGTCCACTTTTGGAGGTTCAGATGTCCCTTCGCCGCTTCGCTTCACTACACTACACTACACTACGTTACATTACACCACACTCCACTATACTACACTACATTACACTACACTACACTCCACAACACTACAACTACAACTACACAACTAGACTACACTCCACTACACTCCACTACATTAAAGTTCACTACACTACATTACACTACACTACGCTCCACTACACTACACTACATTAAATTACACTACACTCCACTACACTACATTACACTACACTACGCTCCACAACACTACAACTACAACTGCACAACTACACTCCACTACACTCCACTACACTAAATTACACTACACTACACTACATTACACTACACTACACTCCACTACACTACACTACACTCCACTACACTACATTACACTACACTACCTTCCACTTCACTTGACTACATTACGCTACACTACACTACACTCCACTACATTACAACTACAACTACGACTACACAACTACACTCCACTACACGAAATTACACTACACTACACTACACCACACTACATTCCACTACACTCCACTACACTACACTACATTACACTACAATACACTGAATGACACTGCACCACAGATAGACAGGTAGACAGATAGACAGACAGACAGACAGACAGATAGATAGATAGACAGGTAGACGGCTAGACAGATAGGCAGATGAAAGAGAGATAGATAGATAGATAGATAGATAGATAGATAGATAGATAGATAGATAGATAAATAGATAGATAGACAGGTAGACAGCTAGACAGATAGGCAGATGAAAGAGAGATAGATAGATAGATAGATAGATAGATAGATAGATAGATAGATAGATAGATAGATAGAGAGGTAGATAGATGGATAGATAGATAGATAGATAGATAGATAGATAGATAGATAGGTACATAGGTAGATAGGTAGATAGGTAGATAGGTAATTGGATGAAAGAGAGAAAGAGAGAAAGAGAGAGATAGATAGCTAGATAGATAGATAGATACATAGAAGATAGATAGGTAGGTAGATAGTCAGAGAAAGAGAGAGACAGAGAGGAGACCTCAAGCACCTTGGTGATTGAATCCTCGTGGTGATTTAAACAGCAACAATGGTGATTTAAGGAATTATCTTGGGAAGTTAACCAGCAACAATTGCCTGAAATGGGTTTTTTCATCATCAAATAGGTCTATCTTGTTGAACCAACAAAGATGGTTGGAACATGTTGGAACATATCTACATCAAAAGGACAAAAACTTGGTTCCGAATCCATTGGGATCAGGCTTTGGACATAGGGATCATTGGGATCTTCAGCACGAGCACGATATCAGATCCAGTCGCCTCCGGTGATCCCTACCGACCCACTAAAAGGCCCTTCACGGGCATCTGAGGCGCCACGTAAATCTCGCATTCAGCGCGCAAGTTACCAAATGCCACTTTTGGAGGTTCGGATGTTGAAAAAGTGGACGTCGTTGTGGCGCGAAGCACATTTCGAAGTCAAAATGTACAAAGCACCACATGTTCGCGCCACTTTTGGAGGTTCGGATGTTGAAAAAGTGCACGTCGTTGTGGCACGAAGCACATTTCGAAGTCAAAATGGACAAAACACCACATGTTCGCGCCACTTTTGGAGGTTCGGATGTTGAAAAAGTGCACATTTCGAAGTGAAAATGTACAAAACACTAGGGGTTCGGACCACTTTTGGAGGTTCAGATGTCGCTTCGCCGCTTCGCTTCACTACACTACACTCCGTTACATTACACCACACTCCACTATACTACACTACGTTACACTACACTACACTCCACACCACTACAACTACAACTACACAACTAGACTACACTCCACTACAGTAAAGTTCACTACACTACATTACACTACACTACGCTCCACTACACTACACTACATTAAATTACACTACACTCCACTACACTACATTACACTACGCTCCACAACACTACAACTACAACTGCACAACTACACTCCACTACACTCCACTAAATTACACTACACTACACTACATTACACTACACTACACTCCACTACACTACACTACACTCCACTACACTACATTACACTACACTACCTTCCACTTCACTTGACTACATTACGCTACACTACACTACACTCCACTACATTACAACTACAACTACGACTACACAACTACACTCCACTACACGAAATTACACTACACTACACTACACCACACTACATTCCACTACACTCCACTACACTACACTACATTACACTACAATACACTGAATGACACTGCACCACAGATAGACAGGTAGACAGATAGACAGACAGACAGACAGATAGATAGATAGACAGGTAGACGGCTAGACAGATAGGCAGATGAAAGAGAGATAGATAGATAGATAGATAGATAGATAGATAGATAGATAGATAGATAGATAGATAGGTACATAGGTAGATAGGTAGATAGGTAGATAGGTAATTAGATGAAAGAGAGAAAGAGAGAGATAGATAGCTAGATAGATAGATAGATACATAGAAGATAGATAGGTAGGTAGATAGTCAGAGAAAGAGAGAGACAGAGAGGAGACCTCAAGCACCTTTCGGTCCATCAGTGGATTCGCTCTGCCATCCCTGATTCACAACAACCAACCTCTCCTATAGGTTTCCTATTTTTGAAACTTCCGCCACCGCCTTGTGCGGTACTACTGGTACAACCCTGGAACTAATACCTAATCACCCGGTTTTTTGACCCCAAAGGCTACATGTCTATCCAGAAGAATTCTATGAGGACAACATGGGGCTCCACTACCCATTGAAGGGGCCGCCGTCAATGATTGCTCCCCCAAAACTGGCCAAACTTAGGTCTTTAGTCTCATCAAGCCAAAATTCACACACAAAAAACAAATTTGCATCGCTAATCGTAGTAATCATAAACAAAACGTGTGGTTCTACGTGGTTGCCCCGAGTTCTACCTTGCGACCCATTAGAACCCATCCCCATTCCCCAGCCATCCGTCCGCTCCTGGGCTTGTGCCACCGAGGAGCGCAAGAGCTCCACCTGTTCAACAAGCTGGAGATAGAACTGATAGAACCAGCAATAAACAATCAAACATCATCAAAGGATACATTTCGAGCAGAAATCCACACGTACAGGGTGAGAACTTCCGAATTGTTGCTTGTCAAGAGCAGGCTACTAATGGTCAGTGGAATGCACTACTCACGCTCACATATTCCAACAGAAGTTGAGCATGTTTCTCCAACTTCACCTGGCATGTTTCACTAAAACGGCAGCTATGTCCCGCACTGTTGGCCTGACCCAAATCGCCACGTAGTCGTTCCATCTCGACCCCCAGGTTGTATCGGTCATCTGGCCATGGCATGTCCGGGTTTGGTGTGTGAAATAAAGTCTATGAGGTCATCTCAGTCTCTCGCTCATCATTTTCGAGATGGGAGCTCCTAGGGTATCAAAATATCCTATGAAATCACTGGGAGCTATTCTTCATCCTGCCAGAGATAATCTCTAAGCCTTGGCAGCCTTGGTGTAGTATACCTTATCTGTTGGGTAAATTATAACTATTCACCAACCAACAAATCCAAAAATGTCATTTGGGATAGTTGATACCTAATCTATCCATATCCATCCTACTCCTATCATTTCTAGCCCTGACGATGGCTATGACAGTCGACGTGGTGATACGCAACCGCGCCGGCTGGGCTGGCTGCGGCCGTGGCCACTTCGGTGTGCAGGTTGGCATCGGCCACCTGAAGAAAATAGGTGGATCTACATGGATCTACCCTATTGGGGGTTTCCATAAATGAGGTACAACCAAATGATCCCAACATTTTCGGGAAAATCCTACTAAAATGGATGATTTGGGGTACCCCTATTTTAGGAACTCGACCCCCTATGGTTATTTTGAGATTGCTATGGAACATGGCCCATTGATAGATGATAAATATGATGATGTACCATGATCTAACAATGGTGATTTTCCATAGCTACGTGAACCACAGGGTAATAGCCCGAATAATCAGGATCATAAGGGACCCCAACGATGAATAGATCCAATATGATCCAATACTAAATCAGGGTTTCGAGATGCTTCGTTTAGGGGGTATTGATATTGGCCGGAAAGGATTAAGTGATTAATTATATCACATAGATTCTCAATTTCTGGTGTTTTCAGGAATTTATATGAACATGTCGATGATTTATGATTCCAGCTTAAAGTTCGCAGATTGGGGAATGTCATCCACTGCACTTTTTTGGGACCCTGAAAGAAAGAGTATTCAAATCGAATACTAAATTAGGCTTTGGATTGGGGGTAAATGGAAGTGGGCCAGAAACCTAAACAGAAATCCCAGACGTGGATGTAAACATGGCCTGTACAAGTCCGTACTGAATCTGATGAACAAATTAGCTGTGAGTGAATGTCAGTGCTTCTCTCCCTTCCGGACCTACATATGTCTTGCTCTGAGAGATCTTGGCACTCTATTCAAGCTTTCGAAGTCTAGCCAATGGTTTTCCAATGTCATACTATAAGCATCAAATCTATAAGCAAGATCCTTACTATATATAAGCTTGGCTCAGTCCACCTGTGCCTAACACTTCCATGCATGCAGGCTGCAAATGCCAGCTAATTCAAGAAAAAGCTCAATAAATTGAAACATGGATCCCACGATGTCCGTGTCCTTTTTTTTTTGAATTGTATCAAGGAAGGGTGAAATGAAATACCCAACATGTTGCAGCAGTGTGCAGTAGAAGACTCCTTTCCCAGCTTGAGACATGCAGGAAATGCTTCGGCCTCCTTGAGAAAGAACAAGACTAGCAGGCTGAAATGTGCGTCAACAAACGTCGGCTCTGGCTCTGCGGTGGACAGCAAAGGCCCACTATAGCCACCAATTTCCGGACCAGTATCAGGCGTGAGCAAAGACCCACCAACAAATCGTACTGGGCATTCACCACAGGCCAAAGGTGCGCAGTCATCAAGTAATAAATCTCGACACCCATCCAACAGACCTGCACCCAAAGAAGTGTTGTCGTTGCTTTGCTAAATTGCTTTTGCGCATAAAGCCAACTGATGAAGGCAAGACACAGTTGCAGTGCCAAAGCCACGGCATAGAACAAATGGTTTTGGATGCGAAAGTCTATCTCCGATTTTCCATCCCTCGACATACTGATGGTACGCAACAGTTCTGCAAAAATGACAAAGATTACAAAGGAAAGGACAAACACATAGCCCAAGCGTTTGATATGAGTCCGCGTCTCACCAATAGCATAAGCATCCCAAACTCCGATAAAAACAGCTCCGGAGATAGCCAAACTGAGCATGTTGATCAAGTTTCTGGCGAGGGTCACAACAACTCGGAAATCTCCCACGCCGAAGAAATGTACATGGTATGCAAAAACCATGAAAGAGATGATAACAACAAATAGTAGGGACATGGTTGATAGCAGTAGGGATGTACGTGAAACACTTTGTTGCTTCAGGCGTCTGGCGCAATCCTTCAATGCTGACAGCGCAGAAGCAGTAATAATAAAATGCACACCGATTGTAGCACACGTAGCCGAAAAGGTGATAGAGCACCGGTTCAGTGGGATCCCAAGCATTCTGCAGGAAAAGTCTTTGCGTGCACAAGTGAACCAGCTCTCTCTGCAGTCCGTGCAAAAACAAGAGTTGCCTGGGCAACCAAACTGGGAAAATGCGCTTGGAGCATGAGAACTTGACACCAGAGTAGCGACGAACCAAGTCATGAAAGCACCAGCTAAAAGACCGATGAGTGCTATTAAACGCTCTCCGACCCACAAGGGAATTTGCAAAGTTGGCTCTTGGCAAGTTGTGCGGTCCTTGATCACTGAAGCGATGCGACGAGCATCTTGTAGTGTCTTCTCAATATGTTGCTGCCTTCCGTATTTAGCTGCATCCTGTCTCAACAGACTCAACGGAGAGTTGGGCCAATCCCATGGATAGTTGTAGAAAAGCATGATTAAATGCTCGAACAGCATCAGGCCGGTGGGATCCTCGGCAAGACCAGGATACTCCTTCCCGACCCTGCAAATCAAGGCCTCCACAGTATTACCATCAAATGACGGGCATAGACGCTTCACAACCTTCACAGCATTTTTAGCCCCAGGATGCCGCATGTAAAACTCTGAGCGCAAGTCATTCCTCCGTTCTGTATCTGTTGTCCCTTCCAACGTTGGATATGTCACCAGGTCATAGCTAAAGTGGCCTTGTAAGGGCACAACTTCCCAATCCAACTTCAAGTAACGGTCACGAAATTTAATCGCTTTTCTTCCCAGTGCCACCTCCTGAAACCGAAAATCGGTCTTCATCTGGCTCAAAAAAGCCCTCCATTCTTGCATGGATATCGAAGTATCGTTCCCAAGTTTTCTCAGTGCATAGTCTCTATCACTTTGTCCAAATTGTTTCAAAATGTCAGTGCCAGACAAGCATGAACCCATCAAGGTCAGGCTAAAGCCGTGCATTCCCCAGACCCTTTCTGCCAATTCCTCCATTGCATCTTCCACCAAGCGAATGTCAGTAGCATCCCTGGGAGACGCTGACGGCGTGATTGTCTCTGCCAGCTGGCTGAAGCGTGTGCCGATGCCCCAGCAGGAGATCACTTCTTCCACAAAGTCATCAGAAGCCAACATGGCTGGCTGAAACCTGGCCCAACTGCCATCTTTTTGATTGCTGAAACTGGCAGAAACAAACAGGACAAAGCCCAACGGCAATTGAGTCTTGGGGTCCATACCATGTCCGCACGTCTCTCCTAGAACGCTTTGTTGGGAACGCAACGTGATTCATGAGACCCGCTTGGCTCCCTCACCTTGAACTCGGCTTGTAGGCTCTGTTGGACCTGCCATGAATGAACCAATTTCCATCAGGAGCACCAAGTGTAAACACCCAACCACACATCGTCACAGTAAACATAAATTGAAATTCTTGATCAAGGGTCCGGTGCATCCCAAACAATCACCGAGCATTCCTAGCAGGTTCAAACCACGAGGGACAAGTTGCGAGCCTCTGAAATTCGAAGCGACAGATGAGCGTCAACCTTGGAGGCCACGGTTCCCTGCCCAAAATGTCTTCAGGTTGGTCCATCTTTGTCTTGGATGTTTCACAAAGTAAGTCCACAAATAGATAAACAAACTAACCAAAGAAAGCACGCACACATATATACACAGATATATATATATATAATTATACATATAATTATATATATATATGTATATCTATCTCCATGCGAACAAGTAAATAAACCAACACATAGATAACCATATGACAATACATGTATCTGTAAAGGGGCCAGAATCTGATTTTCAAATCATGTTAGAAAACATGATTGCAGGTGACCACAGCCCAAGAGATGATGAATCAATCGTCATGGAAACGCCATGATCCCTCTGTGGCATATTTATTTGGTACAATATCTACCCTCCGGTAATGTAACTGTGGAAAATCACCACGTTCATCCAGTTTTAATAGGTAATACAGTAAATCATCTATAAATGGTCCATGTTCAATAGCTATGTATATTAATATGTATATTCTGTATATTGAACTAGCAAAGGGTTGAACCTTCCATTCACCCCAACCATCACACGCCCTCGCCGCCACAAATGCCCCGACCTCCTGTCGGTTCTCCTCAATAGCTGTGCAGGCCTCGGTCGCAGTGGAAAAAAAACAGTGATCCAATGATGTCAATCCGATGGGTGGATGGTAATTTGATCATATTACTGGTTGGTGGTGCAATAGCCATCTTGGAAAACATGAAAGTCAATGGGAAGGATGACATCCCATATATATTATGGACAATAAACCATTTTCCAAACCACCAGCCAGTTATTGGTTATCTGAGTTATCCTGTTAATTTGTAATCCAATATGATTACCAATGATTCAAATTAGTGATCCAATATGATGTTTAGTTGAGTCATGCTGGTAATCAATAATACCAACAGTGATGAATAGGGACTATTACTGTTTAATTACTGGTTGCTGGTTATTGCTGGCTATTACTGATTGTTGCTGTCACCAAGTGATCCAAATTTATAGGCCATGCCACCATTTTTTTTGGGGGGGAGGAAGGGTGAATCAATATGGTGTCTGCATGTCACCAATTGGGAGTTGCTATGTGTCAGGGTGGGTTTCTAGTCTGGACCTCAAATAGGGAAATATCTTCCATTAGTGTTTGTTTTTGGCTGAGCAGTGAGCCAGGATGGGAAAAGTCATTGTTGTATATGCCCCTATCTCAAACTGTCGATCAACACATATAAATACACTAAAATCTAAGCAATCAACCTGCCATCCAACAAACTTCACCCAAAACGTACCCCTAAATTCAATGTTTTCTGATATGTATATATCTATATA